GCTGCGCGCAGGGTCACCGAGGGACCAGACATGTGGCTGCGAGCACACGCGGCTCTGCCGGGCTCACCGGGCACCGACGCCGCGGGAGCACAGGACCTTCGCTGGTGTGGGGGGATTCTTTCCAAAACGCTAAGGACGGTGTGAGGAAGCAGACTCTTTGGAAATAAGACTTTCTTTTCTGCCATTAAATGTTTGTATTTATTTTGGTCATTTTTACGAGAAGCACTTTATTCCCTTTCCTCTCACTGATCTTGAAATAGAACCACCCCCTTCGAAAGAGGGACCCAGTCTCCCCGCCGGCAGCGGCCAGATGCCCCCAGGGCCGCGGGCTGTGCGCAGACACATCACCGCGAGCAGTTCAGACTGCGCCACGCTGACATGTAAACAATGAGGTGTCCGCCAGAGAGGCTGATGGTCTGAAAGGGTTTGTGTTTGTAGGGTCAGAGCTTCTGGTCCATGTTTTGGGAGAAAGCAGCTCACGAACGTCATTAAAACCAGCTTAATCTTTCCTTCAAGATCATCCTTTTGTACTGGATGCTGGAAACTCTTTGGGGAAAAGCTTCAACATGTCACCACAAATCGTAAATGATCCGTGGCAGTGTCGCCAGTTTTCTGACCCAAGTTTGCCTGGTTCAGTTCACGACTAGATGCGCTGAGGTGTGAGGCATTTAGCATTAATGCTTTCTCAGATTCAGCTCTGCGGGAAATCTCCCTCCACCATCAGCTTTTCCAGCACTACCTGAAAACACGCTACTTTCTGACGGGAAACCAATGGGACAATAATTGAAATAGAGGACTAAGGCAAACCCACAGAGGGTGGGTGCTCTCCCAAAGACAGCGCATGCACATCTGGAGCACTCCACACGGCATCACCAGCTTGGATGACTGTCGCTCCCACTGATTTCACGCTGAGACTGCAAACCTGTGGGAGCCGGTCCCCCTCATGCCTGCCTTTGCCTGCTTCCTGCTTCCTCCCCCTTCCCTCAGCACAGAGGTGGGGCTTGGGGCAAGCAGTGGGATGCTCATAGGTTAGTCCAACTGACCTCCTGCCTCTCTTAAAGCTTCAAGACCAATTGAGAGGAAGCAATAACTCCCCAAAGTTCAACTCCCATCCCCAATAGACAAGGGTTGTCATGGACTTCATTGCTTGTCCCAGACAATGCAGGCTTCCTCTTCCCTTTCACGTCAGGCGTTCTCACCTGTCTGAGGGTGTTTCAGAGGAAGCTTGGAGGGCCTCTGCAAGGACACGCCGGGGGCCACTAAGGAACAAGCTTCATTGGCGCAGGCAGGCGCCCCCTTGAGCAACATAGGCACCTGATTTTCCAGACAGCCTGGGTCCTTTCTAGAATTGTCCACCCACCCCACCCCCCACTTTGTGACATGTGTCTTTGTCATGGGCTGTGTTATCCCCAGGAAATCATAGTCTCGGGCCTGTGACTTAGGTGACCTCCAACTGACAGTTGCTAGAACTCAAAGGGCCTGAAAAGGGGTTGGCTTAACTACCCTTTCTCCCCTTCTAGCTTTCTACCTGGCCTGTTTCTTACTGTCTCCGCCCACCACTCCCCTCCGAATCTGGTGGACTTCAATAGGAACTGGTGACTTGATAAAAAAAAATATGGTGAGGAGGTGAAACCTGCAACTGTGTGTGACTCCAGTGACTAAACCGTACTTTCTGTCAAATCAACGGGGTCTGGGGTCTCCAGCCTCGTCCAAGGGCCGCTGCCTAGGAAGAAGGCCACCTGGCCAGTCTCCCTATTTCAAGCCCCACTCATCCTCACCTTCTCTCATCTCTTAGGTCACTTTTGTTCCATGTTTCCATGTGAGTCCACATTCACCTTACTTTACAAAGGCCTTTCTTTACAAACGTGCAGCCTCCGCGTGCCAAACTTGTTGAATACCTTCTGCCTTTTTTAGAGTACTTGCGACAAGCCACCTGGCAGCAAGACCCATTAATCCAGGACATGACATATGCAGCCGCCAAGCCCCTGAGCAGTTGAGGAAGGTGGGTAGGAGCCAGTGAGGTCCTGGGCCTGCACCTGGCCAGGTGTATGTCTGCATCACCCCAGCACCAGGGCACCTTGCAGTCCCCTTACTGTACTATGGAAGTATTGTAGCATTCTCTCGCTAATCGCAGAGGCCTCCCTTAAAATGTGATGGAGCTGCAGAGTGCTGCCGGTAATCTCTAGGAAGGCGCAGGGAAGGCACAGCACTTACAAACTCCTGTTCCTCTTCAGGGTTAGGCTGAGCTCCTCTTCTGTTGCTGGGTTAGCTTAAGAATATCTGAAGCTCTTAAGGAACACCTTTATCAAATGTAGCCAAAGCAGAAAAGCTTCCCTGTGGGCTGAGCCCCGTGAAATCCCACACCAAGTGGGCAAGGTGGCCAGGGCCCACTGAGCCTGACACACGTCCAGTCCCACCTTGCTCTGCATGGGAAGGGGCTGCAGCCACCAGCTCCCTAACACCTATTGGTCAAGCTTGGACTCCTCAGTCCTGTTTCCTTCGTGGTCAGTAGGGAAACAGTTCACAGACACCTGCCATTTCAAGTCCACTTTCCCATCACCTCCTACCCGCCCAGGGAGTCACCTCCAGGTATGTGCTGCAGCCACTCTCCTCCACCAGCCACTCTTGCATCCTGCTATCCTCTCGGGGAGCTGTAACCCCTTTCAATAAGTTGTGCACAAATGTGAACGCCTGAGGCAGGGCTGGACAGCTCTTCATCTGTTCTTTTCCAGAAGTCAATCATAACTCAGAGCAAGTACCCTAAGTACTAGCACCCAAGACAAATAGGGAAAAGTTTTAAATCTTTTGTTTTCTAAAAGAGTATAATTACTTGCAACTAGAGGAAAGGGGCTGGTAAGTTGTTTTGGCCACAGAACAGAAAGCAAAAATGGACATCGTAAAGGAAGTACTGCACTCAAACAATACCACTTCCTAGAGCCAAACAAGGAATGACTGAAGTGCCATTAAATGAATTGTGACCATCGCACCTCCCAGCCCCTAGGTGGCGCACGCGCGCGCGCACGTGCTGGGGAAAGCCCACGCTTCACTTTCAAAGGATGCCTCGCTTTGCTGTAGCGTGTTTTGGAAAAGCAGCAGTGTGTTCTGTCCAGTGGGGATATTTCCTCTGTCCTTTCTGCCGCCCCAACATTTGAGGTTCCTAGTCAGAACCGTGTTACTGCACATCCACCGGGCTCACTCTGGAGGTGCTCATTCATAGCACAAGCCTATCGAGTTCTGAACTGTGTCGTTCAAAGATAATGTCTGCATGATGTCACATCTGTTGTACCTTTGAGGAAAATTTGTATGTAAATGTACAGAAATAAAAATGTTGCCCCATTAACAAATTTCCTCTGGAATGTCTTCCCTACCTCATCTGATGGTATCCAATGAAGGGCATTTCATGACCATTGACAAGTAATAAAAACTCTTTATTCAGACCTTGCTGAGTCCCTGTTTTAGCGCCTCTGTGAACCGAGTCTTCACTCGGCCTGGGAAGGGTGGGTGGCCCTCATCTGCTTGCAGAGTCCTGGTTTTAAAGGCAGGCAGAGGCAGAGAGGATTAAACACAGACTGTTTATTCAGGGCCAGTCTAAACCACCTGAGAAATGGGGCCATCAGTAAATTTGAGAGTTCTTTTCTCTTGTGTATTGATGTCCTGCTAATCTGTGACCTGCAAGTTCCCAGAAAGGTTGAGAAATGATTATCTGACACTGTGATTCTATAAGGAAAGACTGATAACCAAAACCTTCTTCTCTAATGTAGTATTTTTTCACAAGAAAACAATGTTTCTTTAATAAAGTTTTATACCAAACTCTTCTCTCCATAGCCCTGATTTTGTGTTACTTACTCTTCCTAGAGAAAGTGCCCACTGAGCTCTCAGCTCGGTGACACTGGCTGAGGCCTGGGAGGCTAGCACAGGAAGTCTGCTAAGGAGGGAACATCTTAAACCCCACACCTACTGCTCTGAAATGCCTTTATGTCCCAGCCACAATGTCACCACCCCCGGCTGCTTACCCCGGGCTCAATGCTTTTACCACTGCATGAAGTGTTGCAGAGCCCTGGACTACCAGCCTCCAGTAACAAAACGGGTCCAGGTGGGCTCCAAAGACTAGCAAGTGTTTGGCCAGTGGTCCTCTGGCTTGCCTGTGCTGAGCACCTGGGAGCTTTTCAACCCAACGCCTGGGCCCCAGGCCATCGGCGTCTTGGGCAGGGGAGGCATAGGCAGCCTGTGAGAACTCCCCGACAGATCTGAATGTGAAGCCAAGCTTTGGAGCCACTGACCCAGGAAATACTGGCCTTTGGGAAAAGGAGTGAAAAAACAAGCAAAATGTGTAGCATTTGGTACTGAGTCGGTGCTTTCCTGAGCAGGAGGCAAGGGTGATTTCTTTCCCGAGTTCTTGTCCAGGTAGATTCAAAGAATGAAGCCACAGACAAAAGGTGGTAGATGAAAAGGTGGAAATTTATTGGAAACAAGTACAAACTCCCACGTAGGGAGGAGGTCCCCAAAGGGTAGCCCACTAAGCTCCTTCTTCCTAAGGATTTAAAGGCTGCAGTTCTTTGTTTCTTGTTGCTGCCTTCCAACTGGTCACTTATCAGCTTCAAAGCTCAAAACCCACATGGCGCCCCCCTTTATTTCTCCCCCTTCAGTGGTGGAATTCTCTATCTCCTATGAAAATCTGTTCCTTCTCCCATTTGTCAGCATTTCTCTATCCTCTGTGGAAGTCTGTTTCCTCTTTCTCCCCATACCCTGGGGCTTTTCCCTGTCTTCTGTAAATGGATGTCTTCCTTTTCCCTTATCCTGTGGCACCTTTTATTCTCTGTGAATATATGCCTCTTGGCAGCTCCAAGCCCACAACCAACTATGTCTTCCTCCCGCATGGACCCCCTAATTCCTAAAACTCCCTACACTTGCCTATTTTACCCCTAAAAACTCCTTTCAGTACTAAAAAGATTAGAATCTACTTCAAGTGGTAGGCAGAAAAAGGCTAAGGATTAAACATGACCAAAATAGGTACTTGGGACTTGGGGGGAAAAAGAGAGAGAGAGAAGGAGAAGGAAAAGACAATGGTAACAGAAGGGCAAGCATTTGGATCCGAATGTAGATAAAGCCGTAACTGACTCTTCATTGCCATTGCACTTAAAGTTTGCAAAGTATTTCTGTGCAGTTAATCCTGACACTAACCCAGCAGAGTGGAGATCATTCCCATTTTGTAGGTGAGGAAACAGGGCCCAGAGAAGTGAGAGACTTCACCAAGACCACAAGTCTAGTGAGCCGTGAGGAGTGGGGCTCCGACCCAGGCCCGAGGGTGAGCACAGCAGAGAGATGTGCCAGGGAAGGCTTATCATCTCCCATTTAACTGGGAATGGACACAACAGAGTCACAACTAATTTAACCCTTCAGTCTTTTTAGCCCCCTTCACAACAAAATCCCATCTGAACCCCTTTTCTCCATCACTGAGCAGTCACAAGGCAACTACTGCCCATTTTGCTTTTCTTCTTCCCAAGTTTGATCAATGACAGCCTTCTGGCCCACAATCTGGTGAGGGAGAAGAAGGAGAATTAATAAGATTAACCCTTTAAAGACAAAATGTAAACACATTAACCTGGTGACAAACAGTGGAATTCAACTCATTTATTTAAATGTATATTGTACACAAGTTAGAAATCCTCACTTCCGCCTCAGCTAGAACTTTTCCGGAAAAGCCTCCATTTCTTCCTTGATCCTGTTTTCTACAAGTAATGCGAAGTTATTGTCTGTATTTTGTAGGTTATAGCTGACAAACACCTGCTTGTTGGTCTTCCTGGCTAAAAAGAGAAAACACATTGACACAGCCATGAATGAAATAACTAGAGACTCTTGTGTGCCTCGGGCAGACCTTACAGCTGAGCAATACAGGGGAAAAGACAATGGGCTTTCAGGGGGAGAAGAAAGTTCTGGTTTTTATGACCTCAGAGGCAGCTGCTGCAAATGCAGACTAAAGTCTTTGGGACCGTTCTAAGTCTCTAGAACAGTGGCTCTTCAAGTGTGGTCCCCACAGCAGCAGCATCCCCTGGGAACTCATCAGAGACACACATGCTCAGGCCCCACCCCCAGGCCAATGGGATCAGAAAGGCTGGGCTTGCGGCCAACACTGATGTCCACGAGACCTCTAGGGATCCGAATACTAACGTTTAAGAACCACTGTTTGTTTCACTTTTCAAAAAACACCAATAATCCTACATTTCTCCATTTCTGTGTGTACCCATGCAGATACACACGCACATGCATATTTATATGTGTGGGCAAATACATATATACACACAAATATCTAATTTTCAATTTGATGTTGGCTATGTTTGAGCCCCTTTCTGCAGAACAATAGTAATTAAGGTGTACAGCTCCAACTGCAGAAATCAGTATGAAAGATGAGACAGACATCCTGAGGACAGCCGGGCAGCAAGTCTAAATCAGCTAAATAGTGTAACTGCACCAGAGCTGGGGCCTCCTCCCTCGGCCTCACACCACACACAGGGCGGTTACAGACTCTTCTTCCCCACAGAGGCACGCACCCACCCTCCCATCCCAAGGACTTCAGATGACCACGCCAACCCAGCATCAAAGGCAAAGAGGTGGTCAGGAGAGGTGAGACTGGGATGCCGGCCCAGCCTGCCCTCATTCAGGGGGCGGGAAATTCCCTGTCCACCAGAAGGGCTGCTCTGGTTCCAATCTCTCTACTTGCTAAGACAGGGTCTTACAGGGAGCAAGACTGTGCCCGCCACATCGTCTGCCCAGCAGACCCAGCCAGCGCTGCCCTCCAGAGCCACACAAGTAAGGGGGTTCTCATCCACACCACAGCCTCCAATGCTTCCAGGGTTACCCTGAACCCTCTATCATCTCTTCTCTCACTTCTTTTCATCTGTTTGGGACCCTGCTCTCTTCTCATTACCCCTTCTAGACAAAGCCCCCAACATTTGCACAAACTAAAAAAGAAAAAGAACCTGCCCTGGCCAGTGTTGTTCAGTGATTAGAGTGTCAGCTGGGGCACCTAAGGATCTCGGGTTCAATTCCCAGTCAATGGCACAAACCTGGGTTGCAAGTTCAATCCCCGGCCCCAGTTGGGGCACCTGTGGAAGGCAACCAATCGAAGTGTGTCTCTCACATCAAAATCTTCCTCTCTCTCTCCCCACTCCCTTCCACTCTCTCTAAAAAAGAAAAAAATCCTCAGATGAAGATTAATAAAACAAAAAATCAAAAGAACTCTATTTTTTTTGCATACAAACTATTAGCCCTCCAGATCAAGGACACATCTTCCTTTTTGGCACAAAAAACATGGCGCACCAAACGTGCGCCCACCACCCTGCACTACCAGTCTGTCATCCACACTGTGGTGACCCACCAGTTTTCTGGCCCAGAACTATGAACACCCTCATCTTCACTGTGTCAGGCAGGCACACAGTGGTCTGTGACATGAATGTTACCCCTTAAACGCTGGCAATACACAGTGAAACACGTGGAACAGTCATGTCTTCAACCTACTTTCACGTGGTTCAGAAAAAACAATGACGTGAACACAGGAACAGTAACAACTGGGAATCTGGGTGCGGGCTAAACAGGAATGCTCTGAATCTTTTCTTGCAACTTTTCTATAAATTTAAAATTACCTCCTAATACGAAGTTACCAAACAACTTACTAGTCAGGTTTCTCTAATTTCAGGCTAAAGAAAAGGTACAGTGATGTTCCCAAAATGCTGCAGCAGCTGCCCTCGTGGCCTCACCCTGTCCACGCTCAGAACTGTGTGGCGAGTCTAGAATGGCCTCTCCTCAACCTGCCTCTGGCACCTGTGTGCCACCTGAACTGTGTGGGTGTTCTGTTTACCAGGGTGCCTTCCAGACTGACTTGTTTCCACTTTTCAGGGATTAAGTGGATAGAACTGTCAACACCAATAAAACACAGGGCTGGGCCCCATCCGCTGCACACGCCCAGCACCAGTACACGGGCGCTACATCTGAACCGGCTGGGAACACTGGTGACCACGAAGACTGAGCGGCCACAGAGGCGGCCCTACTGTTCAAGGCCCTGGCACCTGGATGGCCAGGTGACCGCGCACACTGGCCGAGGCGGCACACATGCTGTCCTCACCCGGACTGCCTGGGTACTTACAGGAAGTGTGTCTGGGGTGTAGGAGAGGGGAACCTTCAGCTTCAGGCTCTTGCTTCACACCCACCCTTCACCACACTGAGGCCAGGCCAGTCTCCCTCTGAACGCTGACGGCATCCGGGAGTGTAGGACCGTCCCTCCTGCACAGGCTGGCTCCCTGCTCCACAGACTCCACTGACTCCCCAGAGCCCAGGAGGCTCCAGCAGCACTGCCCTCGGCACAGTGGCGCCCTTCACACTCGCCCCCACCAGAAGTAACGTGCTTATAGAAGGACCCGAGTCACCCGTCCCTCATAAGCTTGGGCAGCAGCCAGGGCACGACATGGGAGTCCCCGAGGCACAGGCTGATCTGAGACAGTGATGGGACCACGTGATAGGGATGTGCTCCTAAAGGAGACACAATACACCAAGGTCTGGGCTTACTCTGCCGTGATGAGTTGATTTATCTCCTGACATAAAGATTCACCTCTAAAGTGACTTGCCTCACGATTCCATCACACAGCGAGGCCCCATCTGGCCGCTCCTGCAGCCGCCATGGGTACGTACCTAAGCGCTGGGCAAGGCCAGTGGAGGTCGTGTCCGAAGTGTCTCCGAGGAGGGAGGTGGACACAGGGATGGAGTCCTGAAAGGAAAACAGAGAGTGCGATGCGGCTTCTCCCTCAGCTGAACTTCTGCCACTGCTGACTCTTCACGCGGGCGGCAGTGGAGGTCCTGGGAGGTCAGACACATCGGCCAAGAGAAGAAGGCCTGGCATCGGTGTCAGCAGCCAGGCAGGCTGGCCCTCTACGCTATGAGCTCACACAGCGGGAGAGATGAGGAGCAGCCACCTGACGCTGGCATCACCGTGCTGACAATAGTTCTAGGAGTTGTTTCACACTAAGGGCATGGTTTAGTGCTGGAAATTCCAAAGCATGCTGACGGGCAACATCACAACCAAGATGGAAGCAAACAAGATCATTAAGGCCAGAGCTAAAAGGAGGCTATCGGAGTCTGGGTGCCACGTGCCTGCGGGCCCCTCACCCTGGCAGCCAGCAGTAGAGGAGGCAGGACACCTACCTCCTCACCTGACGGAGAACCACAGCTCCACTCCCCGAAGGGTGTCTGGGCTCTTCAAGCGCACAAAGGCCCCGTGACTCTGCAAAAGGGCACCAGCCATCAGTGTCCAAATAATGAAAATAAAAACTTCTGGCTATACTTGGTCAATTCTCATTTCAGATAAGAAGCAATAAAACTAAAGATAAGTAAATGTGGCCCCTTTGAAATCCAGAGGTAATCTTACTTCCAATCACAAAATGGAAGTAATTCCCCTTCCCATTAAAAAGGCCTCGCTGAAAATGAAAAACCCAGTAACTTATAATGCGGCCAAAATTCCTTTTACTGTGAGCAGCACACAGACCAGAGCCTGCTCCGTATCTCCTAAGGATTCAAGTTATTTCAGTGCGAGACAGAATTCGTTTAGGCCACAAAAGATGAAAAAAATAAAAACATTCACTTCATGATTTTTCCTTGAGAAAGATACAAAAATGTGATCTTAATGAATTTGCTGTTTACAGATTTTAAGTTCAACTGTTAATAGTATTTACAGTTAAACCTCCTGAAAACAGAAAACCTACCTTAACAGGGTGACCTTTTCTGATCAAAAACAAAACTAAAAACCCACACTGTTCCCCTTTTCTCCACTTCATTATTTCTGAAGTCACACTGTGTGAAGCCGGTCTCCCAGGTAGACACATGCGTAGACGGCTTTACTGCGGCCGGAGGACCACCTTCCACTCACCCAGGCGCATCCTAGTTCTCTGAGCACAAAGGGTCCCCCACCCCGTCTTCCCTGGTCCCAAGCCGCTTCCCTCCTGCCGCTGGGGCCCTGCAGCTTCTCTGGCATCACACAGAGCCGCTGGCTGCAAGGCAGGCCAGCTGGACGAGCAAAAGTTGTATGGTTTTGTTCTACGTAGTCTAGTCTTACATGTGGGGACTTTGGGGAAAGGGAAGAGGGAGAGACCTCACAGACCCTTTGGAGCCATCCCAGCTCATGGGCCAGTAAATGTTTTCTAAGAAGGGCCAGATGGTAGGTAGACAGTTTAGTTTCTATAGACAACTGCTCAACTCTGCCATCAGAATGCAAAAGCTGTCAGACCCTATTAAGGATGGGCATAGCTGTGTTCCAATAAAACCCTAACACAAAAGGAGACGCGAGCCAGCCCGCAGGCTGCGGTGTGCGAGCCCTGGTCCACTGGAACCTTGTTTCCCTGCCCTAAGCTATGGCCAACACCTCTTCTCTCCAGCTGGCCCAGTCCTCTGCCCCTGGAGGACAATGCCTAGGCACACTGTGGCCAGTTGGTGGGAGTGGTTCCTTTTCCTTTTCCCCAATCTTGATGTAAGGTGACTTTCCAGCTGAAAAAATACACCCTACTAAGAGCTATGACTAGCAAGTGGTGAGACTACCATGGCCGCCCACAGCCGGAGCCTTGAAACGGATTCCAGGAATCGATGCCTGGTCTTACCCCATGGGCCCACAGCCTTAGGGTTAGGAAAGAAGGTGAAGTGGCTCCATGGCACCATGTTCTCCAAACACACAGCACAGCCCATAACCCCCTGCCCCTCTGTGTGAA